AATTTTTTTGAGGAGGGCGGAAAAATAAATAAAATTAATTCTTTTTTTTTGACTACCAAATATGGCTATTCTATTTAAATAGTATAATACATAAGTTTTAAGTATGGTAAGGCCAGACTTTTTTTATTCCTTGTTTCTTGAGTTTTTATAAGGCAATTTTTTTGAGGAGGGCGAAAAATAAAATAAAATTAATTCTCTTTTTCCATTAGATTTGTGTGATTCTCAAATAAATGTAAGTGAGATCATTGATCAGAGAGAAAATATGAAATAAAATTTTATTCCATGTATAAACTGGTTGGCAATGTCGCCAATGGTGGCACAATTTTCAGCATTAATGAGGGATTTCTCGGTTTTTGACAACAGAGTTTCACGGCGTGTCACCACGACTACACCGCCATGTTCGCCTAGTAGTCTCAAGCAGCACGCAGAGAGGTCAATACTTGTGTTTCACTGTCAACCAACGTGCATAAAGTATAGATCTGCGCGAGACTTCGATACTTTGATAATGATATTCCCATAAAAATGCAACTTGGATTTGTTAGGCGGCGAGGGGAAAAAAAATGAAGATAAAAATAATTTTTTTTTAACAATTTTTTGCACTTACAAGTAATTTTGTGCGAGAAATTACGCTGAAATAAACTTTTATTTTTATTTCATTTTCGGCTCCAGTTCATACATATAAAAACTCAAGAAACAAGGAATAAAAAAAGTCTGGCCTTACCAGGGTACTGATAGATAATAGAGTATGTAATTTATGTAACAACGGGAATGAAATACATTATATAATGCACTGCAAACATAATAATATTTCTGGGCACACGAATAAGTTCTATAAATCATTGTATATTTATGCACCCAATCTATAAAATTTATGTAAGAAAGATTTGTTTGTACAGATTTTCTCTAGCAATGATAAATTTATCTATACCAACTTAGCTAATTTTGTTTTTCAGATTATGAAATTATTTTAGTTATTTCTTTTTGTTTTGTTTTTTGGACTTTACTCAAGCTCTGTATTGTGTACGTTCCAAATATCATGTATCCTGTATATTATTATACGTCTGTTACCGTAATGCCATAAGTTACAGCATGCCATACTTTTGCAGTATTTTATGGGGTATTTTCATCTAATCATATAAAGAAATGCGAATTCCAAAAAAA